TAAGCTTAAGATTTTACGACGTTTAACACGTCTTGTGAATACCCTAATTGTGTTTGTCAGAAAACGCAAGAAAACTATTTCAGAGCTCATGAAAATCATATGTATGTACAAATGTATTAAGGTTACATTGACTATAATCTATTGGGACAAAATTAGATATGAATGAGTATACGTCCGTTGAGAATTACATATGGTACAATTATAAATATTTAAAAGCGCTCAAATAAATCCATGGTCATAGAAATGCATATGTATAAATATATATGTATATGTACGAAAATACATAGATAAGAGTGTCTAAATTCAATTCACAACTTTTTTTTCCGCCCAATCCATTACTACAATTTTTCCTGTTCCATTAAAAATGAACGTAGTCGGGCGTTTGGATATCGGGGCCTGCGAGCACATCACGCCACATTCATCAAACCATCGACAAATTAAAGACATGAATGCTTTTCTCAAGTGCATGTCGAGCCTCCAGAAAATTTTTTATTCATAATCGTATATTGTCGTGTGAGTTTTAAAATAGCCATAGTAGCCATTTAATGTCTAAAGGTAGAGGGCATTGTCATATCACGAGAGTTCAATTTAATTTATTTAATAATTTCTTTGGTTGTTGGTTGTATACGATTATATACACATGTAAGTATGTACATGAAATGTCGTATGTATGTATGTATGTATTTATATAAATATGCTCGTACATGCATCTGTATATAATATCTTTATATGTATTTTAAGGGAAGAGTACACTGCTAGCTTTCATATTTCAATTTGTCTTGTTGGAAAAATTGGCCTTTACCTGCTAAGAGCCGATAAATATTAAAAACTCTTTTCTATAATTTTTATTATTCGTGTTTAGCGACTTAAACTTTTCTTCTTTGATTGGTGATACATATGTAATATCCAAATTCACTCTCCTACGGCCACAGACAAATAAATATGCAATACATACATGCAAGTAAATATCTCAAGATACAATTGTATATCTTTTTTAGGTTGACTTATAGACCGCAGACAGTCAATTAGACGCCGACCGTTATATGATATGGATGCTGGTATGCAAATTTACATTCAAAAATTCTGCATACGTATGTTTGTATGCGTGCATATGTATATGTATATACATATTGCACACCGTCTTCAGAAGAGTCAGAACTCAAAATTTGGCATTTTTGAGATTATGTGCTAAAAATGAACGCAAACCTTTTATTTACCTTTCAGCAAAAGCTGGAGAAATTTTTTTTTATAATTTGTTAAAAAAAAAACCTAAGGAAAAGTCGCCCTTGTCCATATGAGTATCATGTGTTAAGAAATAGTTTTTCGCATCTTCTGCAAAACGTATTATTTTGAGTTGTGACTCTTTTGAAGATGGTGTGCGATATGTAAATCTAGGTAAACTTTTTGCGAGTAACCCTGCAAGAAAATCATGTTCTAATGGGAAAAGTTCTAGTTTTCTAGTTTCGAAAAGGTATCTAGGTTTTTTTTATTATGATTTTTTTCTAGAAAACGAGCGATATGTTATAACATATTGGGGCGTATTCTTGTTTTCGTACGAATCGAAAATCATAAAATTTTCATACCATTTTCTGTTCAAAAAATTCAAATGCTATTAAGCTGGCATTTCAGGATACTATTTTATATATATATAAGGAACATTTGAAAGTGAGGGGGGGGGGAGGCTCGAGCACCCTACCTGCCCCTACCTGGCTACGCCCATGGATATACAAGTAAACATGTGGGTATGTTTGACTATAAAACCGCTATGTTCGATTAACTGTAAAATAATCGTAAAAATATTTTCAAGAAATATGAATTCTGTAGCTGTCTAAAATTTCAAACAGCCGCAAGAATTGCTCAAGTTCAGGGCATACAACGATGTAGTGTGCATGTAAAAGCATAAAATGACGGCAGCGTTGATCCGGATCCACTCGGGAATTAACTGCAGTTGAAGTCCGAGTTAATCCGGATCAACGCTGCCGTCTGTTTAAGCTTTAAGCCCATTTGTAAAGACGGCAAAACTAGTAGCTCAGTTATGCATACTTTGCACTGCACTGCATAGAATGTTTTTACGTAGAAATCAAAAACCAACAGACTTCTACGTATGTAATGCTGTGCGTTGGGTAACCGCTTACTTGCAAAGCTCATTTAAGAGATTCCCAATGTGGCAACTCTCATGCAATGCCAAGTAGGCATACCTGAGCCTAGATGACATGATAAGTTTAGTAGCCTCATAGCTCTTTGGAATCTACCTTAAAGCCTGTATCCACATATTTTTATTGCCTGACATAAATTTTATCAGAGGCAACATTTGTGTGTGGGCATTTTTTATCTTGATAAAAGCATTTGTAAGATGGCTATTTTTGCCGGATTTAATTACTTAAAAAAAATTAAAAAATATGCTATTTCACACGCAAATACATAATAACAATTATTTAATAGGAAACAGCTCAATTTTTGCTTTTATAATAAAATATCAATAATGTTGCCGCCACGAAGTTATTGCGCATAAAGAAAATGTGGTTGTCAAAGTACCAAATTGCTGGCAATATTTATCAAGGTAAAAGCTCTGATAATTATTGCTTGCCAAGAGCAATATGCGGTCTTCATTGGTAAAATTTTGCCTAATAATTATATCAAGATAAAAACTTTTCCTGTGGAGACAGCAAATAATGGGCATGAGCGCCGGCGTCGCCGCCGCCGCCGAATATTTTTGAAGTTGACCACGCCGCTGCCGCAAAGCCTGTCGGCGAAAACCTCTACTACATACTCATTGATTTATCGGCGAACCAGCTGGTCAAATACTAGAAATTGGTTGTTAATAAGCCGTATGTAGGCAAGTTGGTCAACCTTGAGGAAATGAAAACTGTTTACCCAAAACTTTACGGACTTTCGAAAAAATAATGTCACTTAGTTGGTACCTCGGTGCCTGCTGAGCGCCTCATTTCAAAAGCTGGTGCTACAACCATCAAGAAACGCAACCTCGTTACAACAATACGTTTATAAAAACTTTTTTTTTTGGCAAAAATGGTTAAATAATAAATAATTATAAATAATAAAATTATCGGCGCTAAAAATACTCGTTTTATTTTATTTAAGCTAATTAAAAAAATTAATATTTTTTTTAGAATTTTTTATGGAAAAATGTTTTTGTGAATACTAACTGTAAAAAATGCCTTTAAAAATGCGATAAATCGATGAATTTCAATTAATTTTTTTTGCTTGTATCATATGATTAATTTTCCGATTATTTTATTTTTTTGCCATCCCTAGTTAAGATCAATCGAGTAGCTGATACCTTCTCCTTCAACTGCATTTAAATCAGTG